ATTTACTGCATTTATATAACAAATCAGCATAGACACACTTTTAAAAAAATACTAATGCTCTTTTATTACGCAACAAGCGTAAATCAACTTCATTGACAGTACAACACTCCAACTCAAGTTTATAGAAAAAATTATTTTGAAAAATAAAATTTTTGACCAAACCTTTCGCATGAATGACGAAAAAAATGTAATATATACACTAACGAAGCCTTATTAAGGCCTAAAGATAAGATCAGGTAAAGCTGAATGAAAGGGCAAGTCGTCGTTACGACAACGAACGAGAGAGAGCGAGCGAGAGAGAGAGAGAGAGAGAGAGAGAGCTGCAATGAATCCGAGGAAACAGCAAATGCATATCTGGGCCAGGGAGTATCGATTGGTGGATCTGGGTCACAGCAGCTTTGCGTTCGTACATGTACGCGTGTGTTTATATCACGCGAGAGAACTTTCCGCGTTTTACATTAACCCGGTAGTTTTGCATTTTTTTTAAATGCTTTTTTTCACAAAATGTCTCTAAACACACACGCATTACATAAACCACGAATGCTCAAATATAAATTTCCGCTTATCGTGAGCTACGTATTGTTGAAAAAAAAACGACGAGATACATAATTGTACACGTGACTTAGTTATTCAACTTTGAAATAACACAATTTACAGTGAATCGCGTTACATCGGTCGACGTTAGATAACACGAAGCTAGCGCGCGATAGTTGCTAAGCCCCGCACATTATTTTTTTCTTTCAATTTCATCCGGGGTCGAGATATCTGCGTCCGCGAGTATCGAGCCACCTGCTCTAGTTTCTCTCAACTCTCCGTTTGATGTGACAGACTTTTCGCCGCCAAAATAAACTCTTTTTTTGGATATTTAACTTGGATTGAATGTAGGTTAGGTTTGGTTGAGGTTTTGAGGTTATGTAATGTTAGAACTGTAAAAGTATGTGAAAAGTATTTCAAACGAGAATTTTTTTCCTTCAACATGGCATTGAGCGATGACTTACGCGATAACTGGTGGTTATCTACAAGATAATGCACAAGTCTGATAAAAAGTGTTTTTTTTTAATTTGTTAGTTACAAACGGTCATTTTTCTCTTTTATATCTGTTATGATATTTGCCCTGTTGCGTTTAGATATTCCAGTTGAATTATAATGAAGGCATGCTAGTAATTTATTAAATTCTTTCAAGATTTGCAACATGCTTTTGAAATCTGCTAACGAGCATTATTAATGTGTTTTAAGTAGATATAATGCCGTCTGATATTTTCAAAATTTCAAATGTATATTCAACCATAACGTCTACAATTTTTTCGAAGGCGTATTCAATGGATAAATTTAACAATTTGATGAAACGAAACACAAAGAAACAGATGAAAAAAAATTCTTTTCACGATAACCTACGAAGACGAGTTCTAAACGTAAGCCGGAGCCCTGAAAACTATCCTGCCCAAAAGAAAAAATGTTAAAGCTCTATCGAACAATAGCACCAATGTATCCTAATATAAAGAAAACGAAGTCTGCCCGTCATACTGAACAATACAAGACTCAAAGAAGAAGCAGAAGAGAAAACACAAGTGTAATACGTATAGGACTTCAACGTCCGGTTTCAGCGTTCTTCCGAAGTTACACGTATTTATAGAAGGAGGGAAAAATATCGATTTCCGGCGGCTGCACCAACCCTCCTCCCGTTTGTCGTCGCCGTCGTCGTTGCTCTCATTGACCCAGATGGAAAAAGAACGGAAGGAGAGAGAGAGAGAGAGAGAGAGAGAGAGAGAGAGAGAGAGAGAGAGAGAGAGAGAGAGAGAGAGAGAGAGAGAGAGAGAGAGAGAGAGAGAGAGAGAGAGAGAGAGAGAGAGAGAGAGAGAGAGAGAGAGAGAGAGGAGAGAGAGAGAGAGAGAGAGAGAGAGAGAGACTCTTTTGAACAGCCTTATACCTTCTCACAAACTCCACTCTCCCTTCTTTTTACCGCACTGCTTCTTTGTCAGCAGCGCGATGTTTTAGAAAACTATTTTTTTTCTCAAAGCCGCTCTTTTCATTTCGTTTCGTAACGAGGATGAATTTTAGTGCGCGGAAGAGTTTCTATTGCACGTATTTTTCTGGTGCCTCGCGCAAATCATACGAACGCTGCAATATCGCGTCGCGAAAAGCGTTCGGAAGTCAAATTTCGCAGTCAGCACACTAATCAAATAATTTACAATATACAGGCATTGTCTCATTTTCCAAGTGATGGCATTGGGGAAATCGAGACCCTTGACTTTTCTTAACTCATCTTGCTTATAGGAGCTCTTACAATGTCGTAAGAGCTCTCGTTTTCTCTAATTCTTCTTCGCGCCACACGACTTCGGTCTCGATTACCGCGGTGAATTGTATACGCCGATGTCCAAGACACATCGCGTAAGTAAAGACGATCTTTTTCTTCCTTACGGGTTCTGAAGTTTCAGAATGCTATTGGATAGTGGATAGCGACAATTCAATCGTTTGAAAAATCATTTCAGAGGTCAACTAAGTCAACTCTAATAATCGTTCGTTCATTCGATTCAGCGATAGGATATTGGAAAAAAAGTAAAATCTCGTCACCAAGCGAAAAGACGAGTCCTGTAAACGTCGGTCACGATTATATTAGAAGTACTGTTCATATGGCAGTGAAGTTGGCATTGCTTAACGCTGAGAAAAGCCGATGACCCGATTTAAACGCTACGATATTTTTGCCCAAGTGCATACTATTGCTAAACTAAACTCGCGTCGTATCCGCTTTGCGAAACTTGCAAAAGATTTTATTTATTTACTTTTTCTAATTTCACGAGTGTCTTTAGAAGCTTATAGCGTGTGTTTTTGCACGTTAGAACGTCAACGTGATTACGACGGTTGGAATGATGAAATAAATATATTGAGATATGTATAATAAGAAAGGCACACGAAAGTGGATAAATTTAGAAGCTGAAATGTGGTTACTAATTTAAAATGAGATATTGTGTATACTCGAAGTAATAAAGAAGTCTTAAGCGTGAATCTGTCAATATTTCTACTGCTTTGTCGATAAGATGAAGTTCTGATGCGTATGATTTCATCAGGATAGAAATATTGATTAGTTACGCTTTAAAAATTCAGAGCTTCGAAAAAATAGTGGGCTGAGATTCGGTGTAATTGAGACACAGAGAAAGTCGATGAAAAATCTAATCATTGAATTTACGTAACTAGTAATGCAATTACAAAAATTAATATTTTTATACATTTACAGTGGTAATTTACTAGTCAACCACAAAGTTGTCATTATTGTTTAGTATCCGTAAATTAGTTTTGTTTGTAATTAGATTTCAGTAAAAGTGACCACTACAGGATCAATTGACAAGAGCAAATCAATTTTTCCACAGAAGATGATCGACGATAAAATCCCTTAATGTTATTCAATCAACTGATTTCGTCATCAAGGAAGCTCTTCAACTCATCCATACATACTGGTACATCAAAACTCCGAACCTATTAAACGTCCAACATTTCCTGTTATATAGCCTGGCATGCATTTTCTTCCCACTGATATTATATCATACACACGCGCGCGCACACACACACACACAGAGTGCAGTCATGCGAGTCTATACCACACACATGTACGCACGTGCACGGCCTCTCCCAACGATCGCGTGGCACGTTTTGGTGGGGCGTGGGGGCTCGACTCTGCCGAGCCGAGCAGAGCAGGGGAACGACATGCCGCCATGCGCTCGCTGCGCTTGAGCACGTAGCTCTTCCCTAGCGGATGTGTCTGCGCTGACACCAATACAACGTCTCTCTGTGTGTGTGTGGGGGGGGGGGTGGATGGGTGGGTGTACATGCTTTTCGAGTATGACTTTTCTTTTCTATGACCCGTTCACGAGCAAATATGTTTGTCGAATGACTGATCGTTAAAATGGATTGGTGCCTTGACAATGTCCTTTCTTGAATACACAGTTTGTACTTAGGAGTAATTTAATTTAGTTGAAGGTAATTTGTTCAAGGTATTCTTATCCGAGCTCTGTTTCTAAAGTAACTGGCCTTTTTTAAAAGATTACTAACACTCTGATCGATTCTTTATAGACATGAGTAAATCGAGAGTTTCCTCGTGTTTCGAAATCGATTTTCGAAAGCGTTACGCTGTATTCCGAGTCATGCACGTAGTAATCAAAAAAATAATAAAACAATTTTATTTATGCTGAATATTTCATTATGTGAAGATGATTGAAATAATTTATAATAAAAGGGAATAATAATTGTTAAATCAGTAACCATAGAAAGATAAAATATTCAACGTTTCTGAAAAGCTTTCAAATTATTATACTAAACTCTCAACAAAATCAATCCGCAAAACCCGTGAACACAATAAAAAATATAACCTTGATATTATTATCACAACTTCAAATCCATCAAAACAACATACCTAAAGCCACCTAACGGAAAATCTAAAACATAAAACTCCTCGACCGACAAGTACTCTCCCTGCAGTCCAGTCCTGCATTACCGACGACAACTGATGTACTTCCGCCGCGGAAATTGAAATAAAACAACGAAAAGTGCAACGGAGGAGAACGAACCCCTCGCCGGCCGACGCCCCCTTGTTCAAGGTGAGCTACTCTCTCATACAACTCGCAACTTGGCGAGAAAGCCGCCTTGAGATTACAGACGCCTAGAATGGGAGCCAAGCTATACAAGTTAGATAATTTTCTATGAGTCGCCTTACTCCCTTGCAAATAAAAATCGAAATATTTGTATCACAGAAGAGGATATGCCTTGATTGTTTATTAATTTCAAGCTTTTCTTATTTGCCTTAGAAACTCAATCAGCTTAAATGTCAGGTGTGTGAGCTATGTTTGATCAGGATGCATAAACTGTTTTAGAAACTGCTTGTAAGTTTTTCAACAATGATAGCAAATTAGCCATTCAATGAGTTTAGAATACATTTGATATTCTTACATATTCTTAGAATGTAAAAACAAATTTTGTTTATTGAGTATACAAATGGAATGTTAACTCACCATGAATAAGCATTAAAGTGAAAATAAACCAATCCTTGTCCATAAAGAAAGGAGGCATCCTTCCAATAATCCCCCTTTAATTCATAGAACTTTTGATACGCAGACATTGCTGGTAGAACAAAGAGATATCAATGATTACTTAACTTTCTTCCAGCTAAATATGGCTCAATAGATAAGCAACAATTCAGCTACTAGTACCTTTGTTATAATCTTCAAGCAACAAATGAAAATGACCTAATTTGCAGTATGTCTTAGGATCAATACTGATACCCTTATCTTCTTCGTCATCATTGTCATCATCATCCTTAGAGCCTTCTAAATTGGTTTTAGTACTGTCAGCCTTTCTCCGTTGTTTTTCAGACTGAGCCTGTACAAGCATCTTTTCCAAATATTTTATTGCACGTACTACCAGAGCTTTTTTCTTGGTCTGTTCTGGAGAATTCAACTTTAAAAAGCCAAATTGCCAACTGAAACAAATTTTCCACGTTACATTATATAACAGAAAAAAGAAATACATTAACTACACAAAGTAAACAAACCGATCGACCGACATGAAAAAAAATGACTGGTCCCCAAAAAATCAAAACAATCTGTACCCGCCCACACTGCTTACAAACAATATCGAATGGGAAACAGTTCATAAAACAAAGTGGAGCACAGTAAGTGAGAGTGATATAGAGCGAAATGTAGGCAAAGATGTCAGTAAAACTTTGTGTGCTAACCTATCGAGTTCCGAGAGTATCTGTAACTCCTGGGGTGTTAAATTGATTTCGTCTGTTTCCTGGGCCATTTTTACACATCTAAACACTTAACACATATGCGCGCGAAGAGACGTTTTACGATGACGAACGAACCAATAATCGGCAGTCAAGATCAACGCGGCATCATTCTTATTCCCCGGGGAAGATGCACCACGACGACGGACGACATTAGGTTACGGAACAACGCGATCGCCGATACATACACGGTGTATGTGCAGTATATACGTGTAGGTGCGCGCGCACAGCAGCTACGAAGGGATAAAATACGAAATTACTATGAGTGCTGTAAATTATAACGCGCTATATATGTGTATGTATATCAACCATACAAAAACTTATCGACTGTAGGTGTCGCGTTCGTTCGTTTCGTTTTAATGGCTGTGGGTACCTGAGGACTCCGATGCGCCACAGTGTAGGTGTCGCGAATAGTCAATGGTCAGTTTTTGCGCTGCAGTTTGAATGGCCAAATAATTATTGTTTTTTTACGTGTAAACAGATTATGACGGTGGAAATATCGTTCAAAATGTTTACTTTCATTAAGTACTTTAAAACCGTAATTTTATTACAATCTAAACATTTTTAGTATGTAAACAAATAGTATAACATCATATACTTTATTTCAAGAGGAATTCTAATGTACTGTAATTTGTGTAAGATATGTGCATGTCTAAATTCAGAAGTAGTGAGCTCAGCAAAACATAAATACAGTGACATCAGAGAGATAGAATTTTTGACATCATCAATCTATATTTACCAATCTAACAACGTAAGTCTCTCGTCTGTCAAACAGGTGATTGTTTAACCATTTCGTTCTCCATAGCAACAGGCACGTCATTTCCTAACCCTCCTATTACAAAGAATATAACAAAATTCCAGTGCACCTCAGGTCTTGTAAAATTAGTTAGTGCATTATCATATCAGTGTGGAGTTCCTATAGTCTGTGGGGATCCTGCGCTCTTGCGTCAGTCGTTGTTCGATCTGTTAACGGGAAAGTAGAACAGCAAAGGCTGCGCCGTGTTCCCGACAAATTTTCAGTGGCCGAGGAAGTTAACTCGCAGGTATCGTAAAACTTAAAGTAAGCCTTTGATTATTGCGGTAAACGTGAATGAAAAGGGCAATAAAGTAAATTTGCCTAGAGTTGATTTTCATTGTCGCCATCCGTGTTGGAATAAGGCAGAAAGAGGTAGTGAGTGAAAAGTCTGTGTGGATGGGCTATTGATTTTTCTGCGATCGAGGTGGCCGCCCCGATTTCGCTACCTTTTATTGTGGTTGTGAATTCGCTCTTTTAACTCGGTTCATTCAATTTAAGCATTAAAATATTTTTCATTTTGGAGTTTCATAGAGGGTAGCATCTGTTTGTCTATATATAGCTTTATAACTGTACTTAAACTTGCAGTTGCATTCTAATTCGTTTTTACATTCTATAATTCGGTATATGCAAATTCTTTGAGAGCATTGTATCCTGACTGTTAGTGCAAAATTGACCTTGGTCTTTTAGCTCTTTGTTGCCGTTAGTCATTTGAATTTTTACTTGCTTGCTTTTTATAAATAAACTTATAAATAGAAAACATGTTTATGAATAGAAAACTTCCTATGACCTTTAAGCAGCAACTTAAAATATCTCATTAATGTAATTGTAGTGAATAAAGTTAAGTCAGTGAGCACACGTACACCATATCATACAGTTATTTATTTCAAATATTTAATTTTATTTAGTGAGATAATAATTTTTGTATATCTAACTAGTGGCCATACATAAATTTTTCCAGTCAATGCATATAAATGAAACTTTAATAACTAGTAATTATTTTCTCATGTGAATAACAGTGTAATCTTTTTTTACATAGAATCAAAATGAGTCTTCCTTCAAAGAAAACCAAGGATGATGCTAACAGAGAAGTGTCAGATGTCGCTAAAGATGCCAAGAGTTTCATTGAAAAAATTTTGGGTGATGTTAGTAAAACATCTGCTACTAAACAGATAATCATTGGAACTACGTCAGGATGGTAAAAATGATCCCTCATCAAATTTAAGTCATCTTTTTTTCAATTTTTATTCAGTCAAATTGTTAAAATTTCTTGTTTTAGGGCCACTGGCTTTATGACCATGAAAGTTGGAAAAGTTGCAGCCTTTGCTGTTGGTGGTGGCATCATCATGCTTCAAATTGCCGCAAATCAGGGATACATCAAAATTAACTGGGACAAGATTCAAAAGAAGGCTGACAAAATCACAGACAAAGTCGAAGAAAAACTAACTGGTGAAGGTCCAAAACTAATGGATAAGGTGAGTTTGGTGATTTTCTATAATTTCATTATCAACTGCTATATATTTATACTAGAAAATCACTTCAGTGTCATTTAAATCTAATAATGTAATATCTTCTTTGAGCTGAATTTTTGCATGTGTACAAATATAACTAAATTTTTGATCAAGCTTATTAAATTTTTATTATCTTAAAGTTTTTTATCAATATATTGTGACACATAACACCTACAATATTTGCAATTCATCACTGCATATTTTATTGTATTCAATAAATAAAATGTGTTTGTCATACTTTAATTCATGAATATTTTAAAAGATATTTTTAAATTAAATCATATAAAACTTATTTGATTTTCTAGTTTAAATAGTGTATGAAGAGGTCATTAAATTCACCTATCAGAATCAATATTCTGTATGATTTTCAGGTAGGAAAATTCTGTCGAGCAAACACATTTTTGGCTACCAGTTTTCTTGGTGGCTTTATAATCGGCCTAGCTTCATAAATCCGATAATCGTGGCTTCTGTATTATATAAAAATTAAATAAGACGTAAATAAGACTTCACCTAATTCAATTGTATAATTTTTTAAGATAGCCAAAGAAAATTTTGAAAATAACTTTTTACGAATTGCCTAAATTTTTCTGAAAAATTAAAAAACGTTTAGAAAATCAATTGAGGAAAATCAATTCAGGAAAGTGTTTTTGTTTTATATTACTCTTGTGAAAAATTGTTTTATATTTCCAAATTGATTTTTCAAAGTTGATTTGAAACTAGAAGCTCGAAACATACTAATAAAATGTACAATATATTATATATTTATAGTATAAAGCCAAAATTTGGCCTAATATAAAGTTTAGAAAGAACTAAATAAGTTGACTGATTCATTAATGAAATATTTTTTATGACAGTTTTCAATATAATAATTCAATCTTAATATCTACAAAAAATTATCAATAAAAAAATGAATCAGTCACACCCTAGTACAAGTTCTTATCACGTTCTGTTTGCTAATATACATTTAAATGAACGAATGATTGCCCAAATTACCTCAACCACATATCTTACCAACAGAATACTATTGTTTGAAAAAGAACGTAAAGACTGCCTTGTGTATTACAACAGTTTAAATAAAAACCAATTCTAAAACTTCCATAGTTTTTCTATCTTCTTAATTCTAATCATATCTCTCATGCAATCAGAAAATAACAGTTAAATTAGTGTTCAAATTTAAATAAAAACAATAGATGACTTGACTAACGAAAATAAAATTACAAGAACAAGTGCAAATCTGAGGGTGCTTGCAGATGGAGAGGTACGTGGACAAGAAGCTGAACAAGGCCGAGCAGCTGTTGAAGAACGGTGAATCACGTGGACGTCGTTGGTATCAAAACATCTGTTCAACTGGCGATGGTGAACCATTCCGTGCTAAGGAAATACACTTCTTCTTGGTATCTTTCGCCGCGGGTGTGGCGATAGGCTTGGCATCGGCCAACTAGGTAAACGAGTGCTGCGCTTTGATCGTAGACTTGCGCAGCAAATGGAAACCCAATCAACCTGAAATTATCGCCCCATCAATCGTTGAACCCGTCAATCCTATCGACTCACTTACAAGGTTCGTCGAGGATTTTAAAAAGAATTTTTACGAGTTTCGCGCTTATTGTCGAGCTCGCGTGCCTGAGAGATTATTCTAAAATAGGGCATCATTTCTTTTGGGTTCTAACTGCCCGTTTTGGTTGGATAAGCGTTTATCTATTGATACAACGATTGTGAATTTGCAATTTTCTTATTTCATTTCTCATTGATCGCGCGAATTGTTATAAAAAATATGGTATTACCTTAAAGTGTGATCTAACGTTGTACTGGAATCTATTCAATTATATAATAGGTAAAAATACAGCTTTATCAATGCTAATCCAATCAAACGAATGAAAAACTGACCATCTAAAAAAATGCATATATGCGTTTAAAATGCAGCACGATTAAGAAAAAATACTTTAGAATGAAAGAAAAAAAAGAATAGTATAATAGTATACTTTAGTACATATTCATAAACTGTCATTCAAACAATCTACTAGTGTTTTAAGCCAATCAATTAATCTTATACAATGATCTTTTTTTTTATTGTACGTATTTATTTCTCAGTAATTAGTTTTGAATTTTTGAACGAATTTACCGAATTTTTATTTACAATAATCGTGTGAGATTGATTTTTTGGTTGTTGCATTTGAAATGTTTTCTTGATATGTACATAAAATATTGGCACTCCCTTCGCTTTTTAGTCCTAACACTCAGTTGTTTGTGTTCATATTAGTGTAAATTATTATATTTTTTCGCTTTGAGAGTGCATACTTACACAAATACACGCATATAGCCGATAATGTAAGAGAAAAATATGAGTTTCGGGCTATCTCGGAATGATACTTGTTGAATAGTATTATAAAAAAGAAACTTATGTAATGTAGCACTTAAATGTAAAGCAAAAAAGCAAGGAATCTGTATATTGAAATATCTAAAAACATATGCATAAAACCTTGCGTGTTAGCAAGGCGTCGAGCGACGTTTAGTTCTGTGAATCACAATAAACGATGATTATATTATCACGTACAAAAAATGAACATTATTTTTATAACGACCTTTTCATTTAATTAAAACTCTATATTTAATTTTAAAATCGTTTTAGGCACTGCATTATTATGTTTCTCAGCCTTCGTCTTAATTTTTGGTCGCTATTGCAAAATATATGAGTCGAGCTGTCACTTATTTGTATAAGCGTGTCGTCCGGCTGTAACAACAAATAAATTCTAATAGTAAAATACCCCAATCTAGAACCCACTTAAATGAAAAATTTCTTACTAAATGAATACTGATCGACGTAGGTGTGTGCTGTAACTTTGCACCAGTGATTCCTTCTTGATTCAGCTTCTGAAGAAGTTCCTGAGGATCCAAGTTTCCGTACTCGTGTCGTCTCTCTTTCAAAACGTCTTCTTTAAAAATAATTTGGTCCTTAATTGAAGCTTTTCGTTTTCTGTTTTCGGGGGGCCTTTCCGGCAAACTCTAAAAATAAAGTTAGAATTTACATTCCATCAAAAGAACAAAACATTGCTTAATAAATATACCTTGATTGTGTAAACGTTATCTTTCACTTCAAGCTCTCCACTAATAGAAGCTAAACTCAATCCTGGCCGAATTTCACTCGGGATGATATTTTCAGCCAGACCTGGTTCAATGAATACTCGTCCTTTCTTCCTCTTCATTGGAAGTTTTATTACTTCACCTCTTTTAAATGTGATCAATGACTTTTCCTATAAAATTAAAACACATTTCATTAACAATTAATTTTATAAATCAATAACTCACATTGAAATAGTTACATACCCCCACTGGTTCAATAACCAAATCAGTCCTATGAGGTGCAGTTAGCGGCGGTTGCACATACCGCTCAGGTACAACTAGATTCTCTGGTTTCAAGTCTCGGATTAATTTATTTGCTTGTGTGAAATTCAACGATGTGTCTATTGGACAATGTACAGCTTTCATCGCGAGTGGTTGGAAAGGTGCTAACGCTTCGTGGTATGGAAAATCAGGCTCTGAAAAATTAAAAAGATTTAAAAATATACAATAATTGATTGCTAAGAAAAATTGAAATCTCACCTGTGAATATGACGGTATGCTGAGGATTGTTGCCCCACATCTGTATGAAATGTACCGCATCACCAAATCTTAAACTAGGATGTCCACAGAAAACAACACAAGGTTGCCTAAAATCAGTGCTGAATCCTTCAGCATAAGTGGAAGTGTAATGTTTTAGTCTGGCATTTTTTACAAGAAATGCATGTGGGAAGGGTTCTTCAGGTAGATAAACTCTGTTTTGTTTATTTGTTGACAGCCATTCTGCTAAAATATTCGAGTAAGCCAGAGATGTTTCTGCCACTGGAGATATGAAGAATAGAGGAACTGCAGAGAAGCCTGATTTGTCAAGGTGAGAACTAAGACATTCAAACAAGTCGTATACTACTCCTGAAGGATAGCAAGGTATCAAAACACAGCCTCCAGTTCTTAATGTCATTGCTATGAAAAATAAAAATTGATTAATAAAAGAAAATGTTTATATATAATATACTATTAAAATTATAAAAGCATCTTACCCACTGTCATACACAATTCACCCAACATCGTATCAGGATTAGCAGTAGGCATCTGGGCCAAACCAGTGAGAATTAACACATTGGCATGTTTCAAAGTTGTTTGCTCCATAGGCCTTGGATGAGTTGTAAGTGTAGATGATCCACTAACATATGCAACTTTCTCATGATCACTTGATATTAGCCAATTGCTACTTCCCAAACAATACCCTGAGCTTATAGGAGTTACAGATAAAGCACCATAGATATCTATTTTCTGATCATAGCCAACCAGTTGGATGTTAGCTAATGCTGAATTCACAGCTGCCATTGAATATATATGTTTCCAGGACTTTGGTTTAAAAGCATCAGACAAAGGTGGTGGTAATATATGCAACATCTCTTTCCAGTACCTTGCCATTGTATCTCTTGGTGTTTGCTCAATATACTCTACTAGTTCTTCCATGAAAAATCTGCCAATTTGAAGTGTAGGTTCTGTCGCATATATGACACCTTTGAAACCTGTACCTTCTGTGATTAAAGGTAATGCCAACATGCAAGTGTAGTTTGATATTAGAATGGCATCAATCTCTGAAAAGTCTATAATTTTGTCTAAAGGTGGACAAAATTCTGGAGTTGAATCTACAAATACCCTGCCACAACATTCTTTCAGTTCCTACAAAAGAGCATAATTAAATTTAATAATAATAAAATTTAAGATTATCTACTTGTAGCAGACTTACCCCTTCTATTTGCCAGTCCTGATAGTTATCACGAGGAACCCAATTTATCAGTGAATTAAACTTAGCACTAGGTATCATAGGCATTGGCATAAAATTTAGTACTGACTGCATGTTTAGTCCACAGTCGAGCATTAATGTAATGCCCTTGAATGTGAGAACTAGACATGGTTTTGTTGGCTCACTAGATAAACTGTACTATAATAATCAACAATCAGTTAAAGGTTAGAATTTATTCAGAATAATACATAAATCGTTATTTATCAGCGTTTATGACTGATAAATAAATAAGATTAGATTAAAGAATAGAATGAATACACAAATATTAAATAGGTTATCTTTGATCTAACATGAATTATCAGATATTGATGAAAGAATAGAAACAAACTTTTTTAACATTTAACTTACCAACTTCATCTTTTAATAATTTATCAAACAATCAACAAGTAGAAACAAACGGCACTTTTTTACCCATTTTTTCGGTCGAATATCTCTCAAAGCTTTGATGACAACCAGAATGTTTTTATTAAAGTTCATTCGGTGATCAGGTTAGTATAGGTGCAAACGACCATATCGACACTGATTGTCAATTCTATTCACTATATTCAAATAAATCTCGTAAGTGAATCATCTAAAATAAATATATCTGTTTTATTGGCTCAAAAAATAAATGCACTGCCAATTACGTAAGAATACGCTTTCAAGTCACATGTAATTTTTAAATTTGTCTACGTTTTCTTCTTATTCTAAATCTTATATTTATAGTCGATATAAATTTGGTCAAGTCGCTACCTGTTAAGCTATTCAAATATTGAAGTATAACACAAAAGTTTAAATAATTATAATGTATTATTTTTCATAGTTTTAAAATAAAAAAGAACAATAATTTTTAAATATACTGTACAATAATTTTTATTGTTATACTTTATGACCATCAAATAGTTTCAAACCATAGTAAAATGTATAAAATTAAACAAATAATAACTAACTATTACATAAATATGAAAATTAAAAAGACGATTCATTCGTTGTCTCGAAATCGTATTTCAAAATTACGTCTTTTTTCTAGAGTAACTACATGTTATTAAAAATGTATCCCAAACTAACATAAAATATATATGCATATTAACATCGTTATAAACTGTGATTTCGAATATTATCGTTAGCAAAAAATTCATTCTGCCAAAAAAACAGAAATACTGTTGATGTTCTTAACATCTTTCAGCTATATCATATTTAACTAGTAAATCAGCTATATCAATATCTTCATCACTTGAACTTGTATCAATAAGTTCAAGGCTATAAATGACTTCCTTGGTTATTGGAGTTTTTACGGGATTTTCTAGAGACTTTGATTTGAAATTCCGTTGGCTAACTACTCGACTGACAAAATTTTTCGACTGTGTTAACTCTTGAAACTTCAAACAAGCCATGACTGTCCATTCTTTGGAAGTTGGTTTCACACCTGAAAATACAATATTTTTTTCCTAGTAAGTTAGTCAAATTTGAAGAAAGAAACAGATGTATTCAGTGTCATTATGGGCAAAAAAACTCACCATTCAATTCAGCCCAAATCGCTTGGTAAGGTAATCTATAATATTCATGTTCCAAAGGCACCATATTACTAATATCAACATTTTTGTATGACCCATAATCGCAGCAATATACTGAGGCAGTTTGTTTGTCTCTTACTTCAGTTACATAAGCCCTGAAAAAAAATTAATTTAATTACTTTGATGATTGGTTTCACTACTTATTTAAATGATACATTCCTTACCGACACCAATCACGATTATTGTTTTCTAATGATTTACAAGCATAAAGCTGACCAACTTTGATTGAATCGTAAGTTAATGTTGGTCCTTGATAAACTCTACAAGTTTCAGACATTTTGTATATCATCTTCTACAACGATACAATATCATACAAAAATATTTCAAATACACTCTCACTTAACGAAAAAAAAAGATTTCTTACATTAAAGTGTAAATTTTTGTTACGAAGGAGTTGTACAACAAAATGGGATGGATCACTAGACATAAAAACATGCACATCAAAGTAGCCTTGGGGAACCTGTGGTGCTTCAATAACTGAGCTCAAACACATGGCCATGCACACTCCTCTTTCTTGATTATTGTGTATTTTACGAATCCTTGATCTGAAACCAAAATTTATTAGTGACTACTATTACAATTTCTTTTTAAGGCATCAGGCACAATAATAATACATTTTTTCCTTGTTTATTTTCAATTCCAGCTCTTTTTTACTTGCTTCTGTATTAGAAATTTTAAATGACTTCAATGATTGCACTAATGAAGTACTGAAATCTTTGTCACTTGATGTGCTAATTGAATGGTTAGACTTAGCCAGCTCATTATCATCATGTTTACTTGATATTTCTTTATTCAGAAACAACAAAGCATCATTAATTGAAATAAAAAAATTACTTTCAGTCTTCTTTAACAACTGAACTCTAGAGATGTCATTGCTATCTGCTGTAGTGACAAACTTCACATGAATTTTATTTCTAGAAATTACTTTCTGAAGAGTTGATAATATCTTAGGATCTAAAATAGGAATTTGGTCCAACTGAACTTCAATAGCCTATTGAATAAAAGATAATGGATCTTGAATTTGAAAAAACAAATTTTACTATTTTAGAAATTCTAATCGAGAATGACTTACTTGAGGTGGATAATTTGCCAAAATATTGCAAACTTTTTCCAATGAAATAATATTGTTTTTGTTCACCTCATTTAGTGATCCAACATCAATCAAAAATATTTTAACCTCATTATCATCTATAAACTTCATTATTTTTCCGCGATACCATCTTTTATCTTTGTTAAATTTTACAAAATAAATTTGATTTATGTCATACTTTACTTTTTGATGTACATAATGTTCATTGTCATTTAGTTCTTTTATTGCCTTTTCCATTAATAAATTGAAATATCTAAAGCTTGGTATATCTAACTGTATATAAATTCTATTTTTTAAATGAGAAACATGTGCAGGTACAATATTGTTCTGCAAAATAAAAATTATTGTAATATCCCTAAAAATTCTAAATCAATATACTTACTCTTTGAATGTATAGCTTGGGATTCAACATTTTTTCCAACATTTGACACATAATCAGTTCATTAACATTGATCATTTCATTATTGTCATTAGTAAAGTATAGTTGAACTGATAAATAATCTACAGTAACTGAAGTAACTTTTACATACATAATTTTATTATACAGTTCAGCATTCAAAATTAATTGTAATTCGTCAAAATCTGTAAAGATTTCCAAGCCAGTTAAAACCATTTTTACAGCCTGAGCAGGTAGTATGCAAAATTGAGAACTGAGTTGGTGTAATTTGTTTAAAGCAACATCATCCTTCTCTCCACTGTCAATAAAAAACACAGTAGCAGTGGAATCATTGCATTGAAGACACTTTACCCTATGCCATGATTTATCCTTTATAGCATAATATGCATTTTGGATTATTCTGTTATTAGAGGTTTTTGAACATTCATAAAACGATTTCATTTGAGTTGCAAGCTCTACTACTTTTCCCTGTAAACCAAGCAGATTTTATGTTAAAATTGTTATTTTACTTTTGCAAAATATTATATTATAAAATCTTACAAGGTGGTTTTCATCCATTATAACTCCCCATACCTCTGAAACATTTTTGCAATAATGTATGTTGACCCAAAATTCATTACCTAATGTGTTGAGTTCCAGAAGAACTGATTTTATCATTGGCAATTCCATTTGTTTGCTTGAATCTGAAACCTTTATTAAAAATATTAATAAAAAATGATCTTTTCAGTATTACCTACAAATTAGTTTTAAATACAATTATTTACCTTTCTATTTATTACTGAGCTTTGTGTATTTTCTTTTAACACAACACTGAATGTCCAACTATTAAGTAAATCTGATGGCAAAGTTTCACCATAAGTTTGTTGGTACAAACTTTTAAAAATTTCTTTTAACCCAGTATTCAGATGGAAATCGATGAGTTTTAAAACTCTCTCTGTTAAAATATCATTACTAATTGAAACTAATGAAGAATTATTCTTGTAATCATAAAATTTGTCATTTAAACCATGGCTCTCTTTTATATCAATATTTTCATTACTACTCGGTTCATGTGAAAAGTTTTTGTTATAGTAAAAGGCAGAGCATTCTGACTTTGTACCTGTACATAGACTGCTATTAGTCAATTCTAAATTACTATAACAATTTCTTGGTATTGATGGATTGTTAACAATAGTCTGCTTGAACTTTACTATGTTATTTTCATCAAAAGTTTGACATCTGCGATGAGGTGGTATATATGGCTCAAAACCATACAATTTCTTTTTAGGTAAGTAGTGAAGAAAATCCATATTTCTTGGTATTGACTGCTGGATTAAAAATTTATAAATCATACATTAATGACATTGATATCGATATTTTTTATTAACAAGTTGAATGAGAGACAATGACATACAAATAATTAATTGCCTTTTTAAATCTTAAAAAATATATATAATTTTTTTTATAACATTGAAGATAGTTATGTTTTACTAAAATTATTTCAAAAATCGTATGAAGTAACTATAAATGTTACATAGTTCATACTACAAATGTATAAATGAATGTAGTAAGAAATAGTATATACCAAAACTAGTGCCGTAAACGAAACTTAATGATACGGCGAGTTAACGCCCGAATATAGCGAGGGCGGTTAACGCCGTACCCTCAAGTCATGGCACGACAGTATCGTTTATCACTTTATAGCGCTGCCTTTAAATCCGCACATACGATTCATCTTTCGGTGACTTAGTTCGAAATACCACACACACACACACACAGTGAGGTATAAAGTACGGTGCCGTTATTAACAATTTACGTTATGCAATACTATAAAATATATTTTATTTATAAAAGTTTTATAGTTAAAAAATTATTTCAAAGTAAATAACATATATGATCCATATATGCATGAAATCTGTAATGTTAAAAACAAAAATCAACGTCATATTATGGTTTTTACTGAATTTTACTTAATTTAATGTTGGAAGATAAAAATAAAATAAAATGTAAAAATTACCATATGATTCTCATTTGTTGGGGTTCTTATTCTACATTGTGATTGATCAAATCTTCCACTGAAAATCAAAATTTAACTAGTCATTTCAAATAATATCGTGCATTTTTTATACACAAATCTAACTAATCGAAATACTAATATAAAATCAAATATATGGAACAATAATTAAAAAAAAAAATAAATAAATCAGACAAAAAGAAATTTTCACAACAGCCGTTGAGACTCTTCTTTGTTTTTACTTCCACACGCCCTTATTGACATTCACGACGTATCAAAGTCTCAACAAAGAATTCATCATAAATGAAGTCCGACTAAACCTGATACTGTATCTAACAATGTTCAGTGAAATCAGTATCATTTTCATTCACATGCACATCCGATAAGTAATCATTTTAATTTTTCAGTAAAATATCTTAATCCAAGCTTTGAAACTTGACACTGAAAAATCAAAAAGAAAGTAATCACGCGATCTCTTGTGTTCGTCATACTCACCTAGTAGTAATACTTAAACATTTTCCATAAAATTTCACCTGCCTCTCACTCTCACCCATATCGTAATTGAATTTTAATAAATCACCGATACTTAATTATAACGTAATCCTTCATAATAGTCGTACACTAACGAATGGTATAAAGCTCTTGGGGAAACTAGTCGTAACAAGTCGCCAGTCACCGCACTTGGCTTTCTACGAATCGTCGATTTCAATTCAGTATCGCGCCGGTGCCACCACTTTACCAATTATAAATTTCCTCCACATCTCCCCCCTACTAAGCACCCGGCACTGCACCGGTACCAGTCTGCGCACGCGCATCAGTGCTGGATAGCAGAGTCCCTGAGGCTGAACCCTATCTAACATTACTTTCATAAACATTGGTTGCATAAAAAGTTATTGTTATGCTTTTGAGTCTGACCGAAACTAAGTATTTTGTTTGTTCAATATTTATTTAAATATGAGCGAAGTTATAGTACTGTTTGAGGGTTATTCTACTCAAATTGACGATGTCACAATGGATGCAAATTGCAGTTGTGTTTTAATTAAAACAGCTGAAAAACACAATATCATTGTTGATACTATGACTGCCTGGGACAAACAGGATATTATTGATGGTAAAAGTATTTAGCATATCTTTAGTTTTGAGTTTGGAAAATGTTACAAACAATTTTGACTACAACATGTACATATAGTAATAAATTATGAATAAATTAATTGCAACAATGTTATAATAATATTTGAGAGTAATTATAAAAATCCATATAAAATATACATTTTTTTGGGCAATTTATTGATCTAAAGAAGAATTTCTGATAAGGAAGAATATTTGGAATAACAAAAGCATACGTCGTTAAATTTATTGTCATAGAAAATTGCCTAATAAATATTTGATTTTTTCAGCTTTAGCCAAGCATAATTTAAGTCCTGACGATATAAAGTATGTTATATGTTCACACAGTCATGCAGATCACATAGGAAACAACAATTTATTTTTGAAAGCAGAAGAACATATTGTTGGATGTACTGTACATCACAACACACTATTCCATGAAAGAAACATTAAAACTTGTAAGTATAAACTTATTCTTACTCTTCAGATAAATATGGTCATCCTCTGTCATTAATATTTTTACAGCTGTTTATAATATTACCAAAGGAGTCAAAGTAATATCAACTCCAGGGCATACAGCAGAAGATGTTACAGTTTTGGTGGATGGAAAGTTTAATGGTGAGACAGCCAGAGTTGCAATAACAGGTTCATACTTGGAATTTTTGATATTTGAGTATTCAAGTATGATTTGAAATAAAATTTCATGCGCAATAAAATTTTCAGGTGATTTATTTGAAAAAGAAGAAGATGTGAATAAACCATCTATATGGATGAATTTTGGTATGCCTGAACTCAGAGAACATCAAGCAACATCACGTTATATGATTGCAGATTTTGCAGATGTTATCATTCCAGGTCATGGTTCATTTTTCCACGTTACAAATGAAATTAAAAAAAAACTAATGAATCAGCTAGAAATGATAAAATGTGGAATACTTACAGCGTAGTAACTATAGATTTATAATGATGAATACAATATGCTGTTATAAAAATTGTAGAAAATTTTATATATATATAAACACATTGGTAAGGTAGAATAGAATCTATTGAAGTGTCTTTTAGAGAAGTAATTGTGATAATTTTGTACTTGTAAATTCATATAATACTTATATAAATTATATACTTTTATAATATAATACTTTTTCGCTTTGTACAAAGTGACATTAAAAAACAAAAAAAAATTATAAGTTTGATTCAAATTTGATATAAATATTATCTAATTTACCATAAAATAAATTCAAGGATGGTATTAAAATAGAAGTATAATTAGCTGACAATGGATCAGTTGTTTTTAAACTTTATGACTACTAAAATTTAACAATTATTCTTTTGACTCAGCCCATAGTGTAAAATGAATTTTTTACTATCACATTAATACTAAATTCATATTTTTACATGATATTGATAGTTTAGAATTATATGTAGAAACTATCGTGGCATACTCAAGTTATAATTTAAAATAGAAGATACATTATATTGCATAAAACTTTTTTATTAGAAAATGTTCATTGTACATTAAACAATTGTGGTAATGAGTCAATGAATGTTCAATCTTGTATTTTCACATGCAAAACTATAACACTTTTATCCTTTTCCGAGCGTAAAAAATCTACAAAATGACGCGTTGAACGTCAAAATCGGATAAATAGCGTTTGAGTTACTGCAAAACAACCATTACAGTGAGAAATATGTTAATTAATTAATAACTTTTATAATTCACAAAATATTGATTTGTAATGCTGTATAAACTGAGATTTTTGAAGAGATGAAATTGCGATCTAAATTTAATAAAATATTGAAATTCTTTTTCTATAAAAGTTATTGTTATTAAAAAGGGACGTGCTTGAAAATTAATTTCTTGCAATGTGGGTACGTGTCGTATAAATGTCTTCATTTCCGTGATCATGTGTTAAATTTCAGTTGCTAAAGATTAGCTTTTCAGTGAATGCTATAAATGAATAATTTAATTAATTAATTGAATGGTGTCCATTGTAAACGTGATTATTATTATTGATCAATAGCATCTGAAAGTTATAAGTTTTTAACGAATTTACAAAAAAAATGATCTCGTAAGTGCAATAGGACTAAAGATAGGATTATTTTTTTATTTCCCAGGCCTTTAATTATTAAGATTTTGCAATGAAGTTTTCATCGATGGTTTAAGCGAGAGTTGAACCGTAAAAAAGGAACAAAATAAGTTTCCATTAATAAAATATGAAAACTTTATAAAATTCAAAGATACGAAAAAATTATATATATTGCAGCGATGATGAAAGAATACATCGGGTAATGTAAGAATAAGCGAGGTGATAATCGTTTCATAATCCTGTGGACAAAGCTGCAACTATGACGGTAATCCTTTTCGTGCAGATGTGATCGATATGTAGCGATGAATTAATAATCCTGCAAGTGAAGCCGTCGTCGAGAAAGGTAAAACTCGGTAATGGGATTTCAGTATCGTTCAAACGTTTGCAGAGCGACGCATTTGGAAAGGTTGAGGGCGCATAGCAGGCGTCGTCGATAGCGAATCGTACATCGAACAGGCTAATGTCGGCCTGCTGCTTGGCTTACTTGCTTTGCCTGTTGCCGCTTTGCGAAATGGCGCATCCGAACATCGAGGAAATACCGGAGCGAAGCCCGTTGCGCGTCGACTCCCTGCTGATGCGCTGCATCGAGTCGGGCGTCAATGACGTAGCCATGAGATTGTTGAAGAACAAATTGCACGATATCAAGGATGCCCTGGGATTGCTGCTGCATCACGCCGCCCTCTACAACAACGAAGTCATAGCCCAATACTTGATAGGGCTGGGCGCCGAAGTCGATCTCTTTGACTATGAATCGAAGACGCCTCTCATGGTAGCTGTGGAGAATAGTAATGTAGCAACTGTCAAAGTGCTGCTGAATGGCAATGCCAGTATCGAGGTTGCCGATGTCAGTGGACGAAACGCGCTGCAGTTGCTATTTTCTTCGCAAACGCACGAGGACATGTTGATGTTATTCCTTGAAAGATTGCGACGCGACTGCCGTGACGGCGAGGAGCTGGTGGAGCGACTGATCCAGGCCGGAAGTTCCATGTACCACGCGACTTTCTTCAGGGATACCGCAGTGCTGGAAAGCTTCTTGCAGCACGGCGTCGACATCGATTCTAGAGATCACTCCGGCGCCACGGCATTGCACGCTGCCGTCGAGTTGGACGACGTCTGTTTGGTAGAGTGGCTGCTAAAGAACAACGCCGATGTTAACGCCCAGGACAATTGCGGGTGCGGGCCGCTGTACGATGCCGCGTACCAAGGCAAGGTGCAGATGGTGCGCGTGCTGCTGGAGCACGGGGCGAACCCGAACGTCGCCGAAAAGCATTACGATTACACACCTTTGTTCGCAACATTTGCCTACTCTCTGGGCGAGTCCGAGCAGAACAACTACGACGCCTGCATCGAGCTGCTGCTCCAGCATGGCGCCATCCCTCAGAACTCGAGTGCCGACCGCAATACGCTTTTCGACTACGCCATGCTTGCCAAAAACAGCGATCGCATCAACCTTTTGGTCGCTCGTCTGGCGATACTCGACAAGCTCGGCACTTCGCTCGCCAAGTCCGTCATGTACTACAACGTCGAGGAGCACTTGGTCGCGCAGCCTCGGCTCGACCGCAACTACAATCTGTGCTGGAAGCTGCTCGAGTTCGCAGTCTACAGAAATTACTCGCTGTTCGACTTGTTGACCGGCGGTAAGCGCAAGTTGAGGGTTCTCGTACGCGACCGGACCTTCCTTTCCAAGATCAACTACGTGAATGGCAAGCTGGGCAGGGTATACACCTTTTACTTCAAGCCACTGATGAAAGGCGTCGCCGACGCTGTTCGCGCTGCCAAGCTGGAGGATGCCGCTATTCCGATTCTTTGCAAGATCTTCGACAGAAATTACAATCAGTGCTACAACTTTGCACGGGAAATTGTTGGATACTTGAGTTTGCAAGACCTCGAGCAATTGCGTCGACTATAAACTTGGGGGCATTTCCGCGCGATGCTTCATTATTTTTTCCTTCGTTGCGCATGCGAAATATTTTAGCCATGTTGAATTAGTTTTCATGATATTTGCTTTGAAATGCGATTGACAATTATTATTTGGTCAAAGCTATGCGGTGCAACACTTTTTCAGTTACTCTTGCAATGAATTTTACTTGACGGACATAACATAGATCTCATTTCTTTGGTGAACCTAAAGAAACAATGAGCATTATAAGTATAGTTGTTGATTCGCTTAATTGTCATCATTGATTTAGTAAATGTATATCACAGTCATGATTTATTTTACTGTCACGAATAAAAATACAAGTAAATTATTAACTAGGTTTCTAAAATTCATCAATTGCAGATAAATTATTCAATAATTATGTGATTAATAATTATTGCAGCATTTATAAATATATGACAGTCGATGAAAAAGATGCGATTTTATGCTGTAAAACATAATTGAATTCTCAGAGTACCTTTGATGAAATCAATTCTGATGATGTTATTTTTATGTATTTATAATGTTAAAAATAAATCAATGATTGATATATAGCAGCTATCGTTGTTTTATTAAATGAAATCAACGATGAGGTACAGCCGTTTATCCTTTTTGAAAACAAACAAGGCCAATTAATAAAGCCTCATGGACATTTTATAATTAATTTATTTATAGTACTTGTAAAATTAAATTACGTTCCGAAGTAGAAATAAAATTTCTTTATGTTTTTTAATAAAAAAGTACCATTTTTTCATTAAAATTTTGTCTTACGTATTGAAATTCAACTAGTAGTTTTTTTCTCTCAAGTTGGCATTAGAAAATTCGGCGAAAAGATCGAGCATTTCAAGCTTTAATTTTAATAATAGGCTTGACATTCGATAAAAAATTTTGCAACGTGTCGCTTTTAGGTGAATACTTGCTTGACGTGTATCATTGATATATTTCGCCTGTATCGATATAATGACCGATATCTTCCAGCACCGCGACTTAGAACTTCAATGAAATATAAACGGACATTATTGTTTTTATGCCCGGAAGTTTGTATTAAAATTTTTGATATCCGAATACTATTTGCTATTTCGACGAACGCTTAACTCGTAAGCCTAAATATTCTGCTTTTTCAATCGTCGATTAAGAAATAAACAAAGTACAAAACTAGCGTATACGTAGAAAGATAACGAAGCAGGTCAAGCTGTCAATAAATATCGACTCTGACTCATGAACAATATCTATCCCATTAGCAGGCCCAGTTGATAATTTTATAAGCCCCTTGACGAAGTTACTGCACGAGTTTCGTGTAAATAGCCTGCCCCCGCAGAAGCAAGCCACGCGAGAACAAGTCGTCAAGACTCGTTAGTCAATTGCCATCTGGACCCAAACGCAATTAATAAGGCGCGAACGACGTATGTTTGAAAAATTGTTCTTCCGATTAGATCTCATACGGAAGTATAGCCTTTCACGACGTTGCATTATAAATTCCAGTTGACGGAAGCTCATGTGTATTTCTCATGGAAATGGCTGAAAAACGCGAATCACACTTCGACAGCCGACTAATGCAACACATCCAGTTTGGTCGAGCGAACGAAGCGAACTCGATGCTGAACGAAGAGTTGGCCAGAGCATCGGACGAACAGACGAACACACTGCTGCATTACGCGGTTTTGGGGCAGAGTCCAGATATCGTGCAGCACCTGGTGGAGCTCGGCGCCGAGATCGACTTGCCGGGGAAAGGCGGCAACAGCCCCTTGGAGCTGGCTATAGAGCGCGTCGACGCAGCAGCTTTCAATGCCCCGGAAGAGCGAGGCGAAGATCGCGCTGCAGCTGATGGTTTTCGGGCGGCGCCGGCGCCGAAGAAGCTGCGCGTCAAGATTCTCGAGCTGCTCGTCGGCGAGCTACGCAGCCGGACGCTCGACACCGAGCAGCTAGCCGACAAGCTGCTGTCGGCCGGCTTCAATCTGCTGCACTGCGTCGCTCACTCGGGGGACGAGCAGTTGCTGCGTTGCATGCTGCAGCGCGGACTGGACGCGAACTCGAGGGACCACTGCGGCAGGACGGCACTGCACCTGGCCGTCATGCGCAATCAGCCGCGGTTGGCGAGGCTGTTGCTGGAGCACGGCGCCGACGTGGACAGGGCGTCGCGCGTAGTCGCGGGCAGACCGATACTGATTGCCGCGAGCAACGGGTACAGAGACACGATGAAAGTTTTGCTGGAGGCAGGCGCCGACCCCAACGCCACGTTCGCTCGCATCGACATCACGGCGTTGCGCCTGGTCTTCAAGAATTTCGGCAACGTGCCCGTCGACGAGTCGGACGAATGCCTGCAGCTGCTACTCGAGCACGGCGCCATTCCCCGAAATTTCAGCAGACTGCTCGACATCGCCCTCGACAAGAACGAGCCCAAGAAGATCAACATGCTAATCAATCACTTGGCAATGCTCGGCCTGCTTGGCAGGCCGATTACCAAGTCGGACGTCCACTGCAAACAAGACCGACTGCGCTCGACCATTCCGGCGATGCTCGACTCCTGCCGTGAATTTCTCAAGCGCGAGCTTCGCGCGAACTTGACTGTGCTCGAGTTGCTGACAAACAGCAAAGTCAGAATGAAGATTCTCGTGCGCAACGACGATTTGATGGGGACGCTGGAGATATTACTCTCGGAGGACCAAAATAACGAGCTCTTTCCCTATTACTGCAGTGCGCTCAATGAGCGAATAGCCAAGGCCAGGCGTACGGCCGAACTGGAGGACGTCGCGGTCGCAGTTCTGCTTCAAATTATGCACTGCTATCGGGGCCAGTGCGAGTTGGCAGCGAGAATAGTTGTCGACTATCTAAATGACGAAGACCTCGAGCAGTTGAGTCTAATGTTTTGATTGTACCCTCGATACCCAGATCTGGTACTCGTTTAGCGAGATGTTCGTACGAATTTTATAATCATTGGACGTTATACCGATTCTCAATCATGTACACCTCGTTCCAAGTTTGATTACGATCGGCTTAATCTTGTACCTTGCGGTTTCTTCTCGGGAGGATGTTTTATATAGTCAGTACTAGAGATATTCCTGATTATCGAAAATGATTATAGTTTGAACGTGCCTTTGACAATTTTTTGTATTTAGGAATTGTCATGTATTCAATAAAATATTGACACTGTATGTAAACGATTGATTGAAAATGATAACAGAGTATTCTATAGAGTATTACTTGAATGTATAAGTGACGTTATTTGCAGTTTTATTTTTATATTTGCATTGCAAATACGGTTGCATCGAAAGCCAATTTAATCGTTATTAACAATGAAACGACAGTTTGCGAGCAGATTAAAGACTATTGTAATTCCATCGTAATCTCTTCACTTCAATGTATTATACAAAATGTAAGTTGACGGATGGGAATTTTAAGTTATATCCAATTATATAGATCATGTATCTATATATTAGTCTAATACGATTGTGCTGCCATAATCTGAGTAAATTTCATCCCTGAGCTAAAGTATTGGCAGTGAGGGAGGAGTCGATCAGTTTGGCCTCAACACGTAGATAAATCATAAGCTGTTCAGAAGTGTTGCCGCAGCGGTGAACATCGTTGCCATCGCTGATCTGCATGGCTTTCTAATGTAAAGTACGTCGATCAACTCTGTTATCATTTGTGTTTCAAAGTGTCGATTGTTTCATAATAAATTATCATTGTCCTATTTAGTCGTCATTATTTCACATGTTCATCATGCGTTCACGTCATAAGAACTATAATCGTTGTCGTTTCAGTTGCTCGGATTGATCGTTACTTCGACATCGTAACTGGCTTGAGTGCTTGAATCTTGAAAACATCTGAAATGTCCGAGTGCTATCAATTCCCTCCAGAGGTGATAAGTGATCTAAAGAATCACAAGAACGATGACCTAAGAGAAGCGTTGAAAAAAGATAAAAGTCTCTTCACAGCGTGCGACGACTTCGGCACGTTGCTGCATTATGCAGCTCTACTCGACAATGCAGATATCATGCCCGATTTGGTCGCAGGCGGATCTGACCCTAATTCATTGGAGGGCAAAAGAACTACACCTATAGTAACAGCTGCGTTATCTAATTCTACGGCAGCATTAGAACAGTTGTTCCGACTGGGAGGCAACTTCGATATTAATTCCCGTGAAGGCCTATTTGTCGTGTACAAGCTTTTGAGTGAACAACGCACAGAGCCGGATATGATTGCAATATTCATCGACAAGTTCGTGAAACCTAAAACACCTACTCCCCGGGAGATGGCTGACATCTTTACACGCTGTGGCTCCTCGCTGTATCACGTCAGCTGTGCCAGAAATATCAGTGTGTTAGAGGAAATGCTGACTCATAGAAAGATGAACATCAATTCTAAAGGCGATTTGCAAAAAACTGCACTGCATTCAGCTGTAATGCTGAAAGACCTGAATCTCGTGAAGTGGCTTCTCCTTAAGGGTATTGATATTAACGCAATTGATGTTGCGGGCTTCACGGCGTTATCTCTCGCCTCGTACTACGGTCAATTGAATATGATCAAGGTGTTGTTGAGATACGGCGCAAATGCTAATGCCAAGGACACGCATGTTGGGCTTACACCTGTATACCTAACTTTTGCGGGTGCCTGCAAAAATATTACTACGCAACGATATGACGAATGTGCTGACTACCTACTTCATAATGGCGGTGTTCCCTCCAATCCGATCAATATCCTTTCGCGTAACTCGGATGGCTGTCAATTTAAAACTTTGGCCGATCATGCATTTGATCGATGCAACTACAAGAGGTTTAGAAGTGTCGTTTGTCATCAGGCAATATGCCATATGGCCGGCATTCGCTACGATCCGACTTACCTGTACAGTTTAAATCCAGAAAATCAACCGGCTGTGTCCGCTAGTAAAGAGTACTTCCTCCTGTGTCTGAAATTGCTCGATCTGCCGGTGTTTAAAAGAGTGACGATATTTGAGTTATTGACCTGGTGTGACTACAGGTTGAAAGATTATGTACGCGACAGAAACTTTAAACGTGTATTTACGGAAGCTTCCGTCAAATACTGTCTGAGCCTTTCGTATCCCTACTACTATGACGCTCTCATGGAACGTATTTCAAGACTCCAAAGAATTATTTTTTTGGAAGACGCTTTGCAACGTTAATAGTTAGTTGCTTTAAGCATCGCTGTACTCGAAAATTAACACCGAGTATGCGAATTAACCAAACATTGTCATTGTTTGATCTTAAACTACAATTATCGTATGTATTATAAACATTTTACATGATTACATATGAAAATAATTATTAGTTACATATTTGTTTTATACTTCCATCAACCTTGACCATACCTAACTCTCCTAGAATCAAAGTTAGTTATTTATTGAGGCAGCTTCTCTCGCGATGTCGTGAATTCAAAACAGTACAGGACATGGTTCAACTAAAATTTAATACTAGATTTTCTGGGTGAAATAAGTTATATTTCAAATAATCATATTATTCAATATAGTTAAATAACATTATCACGTAGTTCAATGAAAATAAAAAAAACAAATTAAAAAAAACAAAATTCCAATTTATTGAATGAATGGATTAATAAGAGTGGAGTAATACAAGCTCTGCAGGTTATATTGATAACCGCTTGTTTTTTATGAAGACGAGTGTCATGGGTCTCAAAGTTTTTTCTTTTGTTTATTAATTTCTCCAGACTACGTTCCATAAGCCTTTAGCCACTGTGTATTCCGAAGTGAATTGAACGATTGGATATTGGTCAAACGTCCGACAGTTATACGTGCTAATATCAGTGCACTTTATGAAGATGACAAGAGTCCATTATTGGTAACTGCATTCTATGCTGGAACGTAAAATGCTGTAATTTCTGTCGTGCCGGACTGTTAATTAAAAAATTTGAGATTTTAGACTTTGACGGACCTCCTAAGTAATAGTTTTTTTACAGTGGTACGTTAGAAGTCTGCATCACGTATAATTTAAAAATATCAATATACGATTGAAATTTCTTCATCAAGTTTTAAGAGTATCGAGAAATGTTTATGAATAACTGGTTATTAAACTCGAAAAAGAAGTGTCAAAAAATTAGTAATATTTGTAACGAAATTTTCTATTTTACGTAAAGACATCGTTGATAATTTAGACTTTGAATTACGTGTAAAATAACCAAATCATTTATATTAGTCGAAACTGTAATATTATTTTTCAGTCATAATTGATATCAGCATTATATTTTTTTAATAAGTAAAATATTTTACTCAAAGATGTCAAATGCAAATTAAGATAAAACCAGTGGACGTATATTCGTGATAGTTTTATTCGGGGTCGGGTATACAAAACTAGATTTATCAGTGGGTTTTAGTGATTTTTTCGGTTTCAGGGTGATTGATTATACCTTCGATATCCAGAACACATTTACCTTGCGAGATTTTCATTAAAATTTGATAATCACTGGATATTATGCTAATTCTCAAATGTACCTAATTCCAAATTTTATAATAACTGGTTGAACCTTGTACTTCACATCAATGTTTTATTGTATTATTTAAGGATATTTTCGATGCATATTCAATATTTATAAAGTCAATGGTAGAGTTAGTCATGATCTATTATCGAATAAAATTAGTCTGATGCGTATTACTTGAATTTATCTGTGACATTATTTACCTTTGTATTTTCATATATTGTATTCGCAAATAACTAATTGCAGACTTCTAGACGTTATGTTGTATTAAAATCTTACATATTAGTTATTATTTCGTTTCACATGATATGAAATGAAAAATAAACTTTCCTGGATAATGTGAAACATCGACATATTCACGATATCTTTTATCAATGCTTGCTTCCATATTCGCATAAGCCGATTTAATTGCGATTAAGAATGAATCAATAGCTTGTCAGCAGATTAAGCCTATTGTAATTCTATCTTAATCTCTCTACTACAATTAATAGGCTCATTATAGGAATATATAAGTTGATGGCTGGAACCATTGAGTTCTATTCGATTATAAGGATCGTACTTTTATGTATTAGTCTAATACGATCGAGCTGTCATAATCCGAGTAAGTTTCATCCTTGAGATAACATACAGACAGTAAGACAGAAATCCATCAGTTCGACCTCAACGAGAAGGTGAATCACAAGCTGTGCTAAAGTGTTGCCGCAGCGAGGAACGTCGTTGCCATCGCTGATGATCTGGGTTTCCAAATGTAACGTATGCCGATCAACTCTGTTATAATTTGTCGATTATTTCATAATAAATCGCCATCGCCCCACCATTTATTCGACATTATTCACGCTTTACCATGCGTTCACGTAATGAGTACTATAATCGTTGTCGTTTCAGCAGCTCGAATCAATCGTTTCTTCTTCTTTGGCATCGTAACTAGCTTGAGTGCTTGAGTGCTTGAGTGCTTGAGTCTCGAAAGAATCGAAAATGGCCGCGAAATTTATGTTCCCTAAAAAGCTATTGCAGCACATCGAGAGGGGTCGGAACGAAGAGGCAAAAGAAATGCTGAACGAGGATCTGGCGAAGGGGCGCGACGACTTTGGCACGCTGCTGCATTATGCAGCTCGGTACGGCAACGCAGCGATCGCCCCCACCTTGATCGAATTGGGAAGCGACATAGAAGCGAGGGGGAGCGGAAATCTGACACCACTGACGGTAGCTGTGTTACTGGAACGCACGGAACTGTGCGCGATGCTGTTAGCCGCGGGAGCTCGCGTTAACATCTACGACGATGAAACTATGATGCAAAAAATTTTCAACGAGCCAGATACATGCTGCGATTTGATCACGTTATTTCTCGAGGCGGTAGTATGTCCTCTAAAGCAAACCATCGGCGAGATAGTTGAGTTTTTCATATACTATAGTTCGTCGATGTATCACGCCACCTGTGTCGGACAAATCAGCGTGCTGGAAGAAATGGTGCGGATGGGATACGAGCTTGACTCTATAAACCGTGCCGGGAAAACTGCTCTGCACGCTGCTGCACAACTGGGAGACTTGTGTTTGGGCAAGTGGCTGGTCGTCCAGGGTGTCGACGTTAACGTGATCGATCACAGCGGCTACACGGCATTATGTGCCGCCGCGCGCTCGGGTGACGAAGAGATGATCAAAATGTTGATGCAGCAGGGCGCCGATCCTAATCAGCAATCGCCTACCTATCGGATTACACCTTTGTACGAAACTTTCTTAGATATAAAACCGGATATTTCCGAACAATACGACGCCTGCGCCGAGTGTCTCCTACAGAGTGGCGCTATCCCCTGCAATCCGTGTATAGTCGAAACGGTAGATGATCCTAAGACGATATTCGACTTTGCCTTTGAGCGGTCGAACTATAACAGGCTTCGAATGGTCATCTGTCATCTGGCAGTGTACGAGCAACGCGGTTTTTCAATCGCCAAAAGCGTCATGTACTGCCTCTGCCCGCAATATCAGGAGAGGCTGGACGACCAGAAGTTTTACTATAAAAGTTGTCACAGAGTACTCCAGACCAACATGTTTGGTAAATATTCGTTACTTGATTTGCTGACCAAGGACGAATTCACCATGAAGAAGATGATACGCGACGAGACATTTTCCCGCAAAGTCACTGAGATGAGCACCGAACTCTGTCTGGAGAAACTTTATACATATTACTACAACACGCTCTTTGCACGCATTAAAAGATACGAAAAAATAATTTTACTGGATGACGCTTCGGAACAGTTTTCGGGCATCACTTTGCGCGAAACTGCGTGTTGAGTATGAAAATAAACCAAACATTCTCATTGTTTGTTCTCAAGCTATGTTTCTTATATGAATCATAACAATTTGACGTATTTGAATACCAAAATAATTATTAATTATACATTCTTTTGTTTCCTTACAACAACCTTATGATACCAAAAACTATTTTAACTAAAGTCAACGCGATACAGCATTATGAGTGTGAAAACCCACGCCATTATTTTTTAATCCTACTATCAAGGCAACTATCAATATACAAGTTGACGATGGATGAACTGATAAATGTCGCGTGTTGCCTGGTGGAATTACTTTTAAATAATTAATATGTTGATTAATCATTTAGTGATGTTTAGAGAATGAAACTCTGGCTAATTTTCATTTCCAACATGTGTCAAGAATGTTACGTTCAGTTATTCCAGTAATATCGATTATATCTGAGTATATTTTTTTAGAAACTTGAAAATGGTCAATAGATTTACAAAATGAGAAGTCGCGTTCGTAATGATAATTGAGTGACAAAGTTGCAGGAATTATTTATTGATAATTAAGAAAGCTTATTCCAATTGTTTTAGTAATGATGTACTTATTACTTTTAGTCATTTTTGATTGGTTAACTTTACTTGCAGATTTTTTCTTGCTGGTTATGAAAGATCTATCTATAGTTATGGTAACGATTTTAACATTAAATCTACCGACATATTATATACACCTATTTCTACCGACTAGCGGTCAAATGACCGCTTTTGAAATGAACAATTATAGTCTTTTCTAGTTGATTGTAATTAATACAGAATTTAGCATAAACAATAAACACAAAATAATTATCATATAATAATTAAAAAAACATTTATTTTTCGGGCTTTAGGAGCGGTCATTTGACCGCTTTGGTAGGTTTAGTGTTAATATTCATACGATGTATGCTAATAGTAATTTGATGATTGTCGCATTGGTAGGTTCGAGACAATGTTAGTCTAACATTCACACATCTAAATTTAATTTTTCATACCTATAATTCTTATTTCAACATCTAAATATATTGTAAATATATTGTAAAAGTGCAAATGTACAAATATGCATTTCAATGATATAAAAACGGCAACGTGAGTCAACTTTGCCGTTAGTTACTTGTTTCAAAACTCCATTAAATTGCTATGTAGAGCATTTCTACGATAATGTACATATGTAATTTTTAAGATGTTGTTAATTGACAATTTATTTATTAATTTTGCTAAGAAATATTTTGGTTTTACATTATGTTGAATGAAAAGAAATCGTGAATTTTTCAATCCATGGGTCAGCAAATGGCCGATGTTTTTATTTTATAAAAGATTATTGTTTTAAACGGCAAATTCATTCTAGAATATTTGTATATGCAAGAAAAATAAAATTCCAATTAAAATGATTAATGATTTCATTCAGAAGTTTAAGACGATCAAAAAAGTACTTTTTTTTTTATAAAGCAACTTAAGTAAAAAAATCATCGGCTGACTCCAACTTAAAAACCACAAACACTTATATATAATTTTTTAATATGATGTATCAGCTAGATATCTCGCGGCTATTGTTGGAAATTTGTACCATCAGATATAAATATTACTTATTGCATAAAATCAGTTGATTTATTTCTGAATCGCAGTACATCATTACATAATAAAGTATATCAAAAAGTAATTGTACACTAGTAGTTTTAATTTGCATTCTGAACTCCACAAAAGATTATTTGTGCGAAAAAATATTTATCAGCTCATACAAACAAAGCCTTTTTTATTTGAGGATGATACATATATATATATATATATATATATATATATAAGAACTACAATAACGTTATTTTTAGCATACAATTTTCTCAGTCCATTGAAAAGTATAGTTCAAATGACATTTATTAGACTTCGTAACTAATACGAAATAAAAATTAACGTTGAGACGTACAATGTGGCAACGAAAGCTGCTGTGATTGATCTAGTTTCAAACTTGACATAGTCGCTCGAGATCACGTTCGCTCAGATATCCAGTCACTAGTCTTGCGAAGTTGTAGCACAAATTATAATTAGCGTTAAAAAGCTTGGAAAAGACGGGAATCGTCGCGTCTTCTAGCATCACCATATCAGTTGCTTTCGAAATACGTTCCTTCAAAATTCTGCAGTAATAAGGATAAATCTCGCTGAGCTTTGAGCAGATGAAATCTATTTCCGACATAATCATTCTATTGCGGACAAGCGTTCTCATTTTGTTTTGGTTCTCGGTCAATAAATCAAACAGTGATAAGTCGCCGTAAACGATCAACTCGAGCAGCTTATTGCATGACTCGTATATGTTTCTCAATTCCAAAACTATATGACCATGTTCCTCAATGTTGCAACGCAGAACGGACTTGGCATTGACCTTGCCAAGCTTATGCAGAATCGCCAGCTGACCAATGAGGTAGTCAACTTTATTATTCTCAGCAGGGTTTAGCAAAGCATAATCAAAAAGCGTATTATGATCGACGCTCGAGTTCTCCGGTATAGCGCCATATCGGAGAAGAAGCTCAGTGCACGCATCGAAATTTCCTTGGTCAGATTCGTCCAGTGAGAAAGCAAATACGGCAAAGAGAGGTGTGTATTCGGTGTTTGCGTGCCTAGTATTTGGATTTGCACCACGTTCCAGCAATAAGTGCATCAAGTCGACTTTACCATTGGTCGCGGCATCGAACAACGCGCTCTTGCCATATTCGTCGAGAGCATCTACACAACCGCCTTTGTTCAAAATCCAGTTGGCCATGTCGAGGTCACTTGTTGCAACGGCAGCGTGCAGCGCTGCTCTCTTGCAATAACCTCTTGAGTCGATGTCGATATTACGCTCTAACAGCATCTCCATTACTCGAATATCTCTGAGATAGCTGGCATGATACATCGAGCACCCAGCCTCGATTAATCTATCCACCAACACTTCGATGTCAGAGCAGTCACGTCGCAATCGTTGCAGGATCGGCTCGAGAATTTTAGTACTGAAATAGTCCGGATGAAAAACCATCCGAAGAGCACTTTTACCATCAACATCGGTGATGTCGATACTGGCATTGGCTTGCAATAAAACTTTGGTAACTGCTACACTGCGAACTTCTACGGCCACCATCAGAGGAGTTCTACCATCGGAGTCAAGTGCGTCAACATTAAGACCCACGTCGATCAGATGTCGAGCGATCACCTCGTTGTTGTAGAATGCTGCGTGATGCAATAGCGTTTCCCATTCGATCGAACTCTTGAGCAAATCCTTATCCAGCATTTTGAATTGCTCGTTCTGAGCCGTTTGTATTAAATTTACTAGCTGACCGTCACAAAGCACCTTCATTTTCTCTCACACTTTTGGATTTCAGTTTCTAAATATCAACGAAAGATGCTGACTATCACATCTGACCAATTAGTCATTGCTACTAAATATTCGCGTAAAAGACAATAATTATGTCACATAGATTCTCTATGTAAAAGTTTGGAAGGTACTTGACTGTTCGACTGCTCGAGTGATACCGATTGATGTGCTACCAGTCGATTAATCCTTCATAACTCTAATCAAAACCTGCAACTTTCGACTTTGCTAATAGGATTATTGCCCATCTCTTTTCATAATATTTATTCATCGTATTCAAGTCTTTTTACTGTGAAAGGATAATCCTCTTGAGCCAATCCTCTGGCAACTACAGCAATTCATTGCGGCAAGAATATGGCGATTTTCCTCTCATCTAAAGAGACTACTGTATCCAATATGTAACGAATTGATAGGAATCTATGTTATGGTCTTATGTGAAAAAATACGACTTCTCTGTGTTTAGATATATAGCTCTTTTACTTTGGTTCTACAAATCCCCAAATATAACTCGAAAGAAAAATACTAAACGCAATTCACGTGATATTTATTATAAATTTATTACGAAATTCGAAAAATGAAGCGTCAAGCATTAAGTTACATCATAAAACTACAAGTGATTATTAATTTTTTATCTAGAGTTACCTTCTGATAAGCACTGTGAGAATTGACGTTAAATCTTCGACTTACCGTACGATTCGATAGTTCAGTGTTTCTGATGGCAGGGTAGTTTTCTCGTCAGCTGCTCTGCGTTATGTATTTGTATCAGTTCGCAATCTATATGAATATGCCTCGATTATGGCACACTTATTGTAGTCCATAAAAACTATCTGCATAAAGTTTCTACCTTCGACATAACTAATGTCGACGTCAGCTGCGACTTCTGACAAAACTTTAGTAGCTACTGCATAATTGAAAAACACCCTGAGATTAATGCCACCTTTCCCGAGACATCGTGGAAGTGAGCTCCCAAAAATCAATTTTTTCGACTTTTCCAAAAAGTACAATCAATGCAATCAATTCCGCGTTAATTAATTAAGAGAAAGTTCAACAGATATTTGTTTGCTCGACACTGTTTTCAATAATTAAAATATAATTTTCAATTTGGGGCTAAGACTCAGCTTCAATATTTAGATTAGGTTAATATTCAATAATAATGTGCTTTAGAATGAAAATAATAAGCTCAACCGATTTTAACGTGAAATCAACCCCTGTGATAAAATCTACGTGAATATCAATAATTTCTTAAGTGCATACGGTATGCGCTGTATGAGTTTACCTTCCCATGTGGGTAGCATAATAATATAACCTTTGGCTCTTCTGTTACTTTTTATATATTTTGATATATAATTATATAATTTTCAATTGGTGTGATTTTAATAAGTGACATACTGTACTATACTGACTGTAACGCCATTGGTACACCCGCGACGATAGCGGTGGCGTGGGAATCGCTACAATTTAAACGATAGCCGATTGACAACTACTGGTACTTGATTTTTATTATTATTTAATAAATCCTTGATATTAACATAGATTTTATCACGGGGATTGACTTGGTGTTAAAATCGATTAAGCTTATTATTTTTATTCAAAAGCGCATTATTATTGAATATTGACCAGATCTTAATATGGGGCTGAGCTCTAAATCAAAAATTGCATTTTAATGATTGAAATCGGACGAGTAAGTAAATATCTATTGAACTTTCTCTTCATTAATTGACGCGGAATCGATTGTATTGGTAACTTTTTGGAAAAGTCGAAAAAAAATTGATTTTTGGGGTTTAACTTCCACGACTTTCACTTTTTCCCGAGTGCAACAACGTTGCTTTACATGCGCATAACTGCGTAAAGTAGCAACATTCCACACAAATTAATATTTATATACAAAACAAATAAACAAATATAAAACAGATAAATAACAAATAAACAAATATAAAACAAAGAAATAAATATGATGCGATTTTTATTTAAATTATGCATTTTTCTCTTCAATATAAACTAAAAGGAACGCGAGTAACTTAAAAAAATTTTAAAAAATTTATTTTATTTTAGTTTCATCATCATCAATAATGTATTTTATGAACTTTTAATCCAAAATAAATACATTCGATAATGATATTTTTACATTAGTTAATTACGTTATCAATTAAAATTTAAAAAATTAAAATTATCAATGTTAGGGTAATTGGCTTGGTCATTTAATTGCACAATCATAATATATTGTATTACATTATTTGATTTTCTTCCCATTTATATTATATTATATTTTTTTACAATTACTACTTTTACCAAGCCATAACTTTGAATTGTATTTAATACTTAAAATGTATTTACTACACTGATTGATCAGCTCATTTGCAATAACTTAAAAGCTATAGAAACATTTTTTTACATTTTTTCATTAACTCAATAATAATTTTAGATAATAATAAAACAACATTTTCAAGAGAAAGTAAGGACATAGTTCCCACAATCTGTATTTGGTGCAAGCATTGTCAATTTGGCAAACGAACATCAGGTTACGAACAGAAATTCTTATTTTGTAATTTTTTACAGTCAGCAATTCGAATAGCGATAATTTTTCAAATATGATGACATCGAACGCTTTTCGGTATTTTTCATAATTTCTTCTAGCTAAATCAAATGCTCTACGATTATGATTATTTCGAATTCGCATAATCGACTCTGTCACCGATTTGCTATGTGAGCTATTAGCACTTCGAATTGTAGCTGTTACCGTGCAGAGCGTAGTCTAATAATGTGTGTCGATATTGACTGCAATTGCGTGGGATAGCGCCGTGCTCAAAGAGCAACTCAGCACACTTGTAGTATTGTCCTTGACGTAGATCCCCGAACACTAAAACAGCGAACAGTGGTGTATGATCGTTGAGGCTTGTTACATAGTTGGGATTAGTTCCTGCTTGTAGTAATAATTGTAAGATAGTTGTGTTACTTTTGGAAACGGCCATGGACAATGCACATCTATCATTCGCATCGTGAGCTTGGACATAAACCCCGTTGTCGATTAACAGCTTTGTCAATTTCAAGTCATTCCTTTCCACGGCAATGTGCAGAACTGTGTCTTCGTCCCGACCCTTAGAATTGATATCAATTTGCCGGGTCAACGTGCATTCTATCAACTAGAGATCTTACAAATAAGCAGCTTGATAAACTGTACATTTGGCTTTGATTAATTCATTTACTAACTCTTTCATGCTACTTGTTTGAGCTTGTAACACATGATAAAATTTTACAAATATGTCGAAACAAAAATCTAGCGGGTCTAAGAGCGCTGAGTCCGCAAGGATAAACTGTCTCAATTACAGCGAATTTATCCATAAGCACATCGATAACTTCTATGCTTTCATCAAACTCAATGGCAAACATAAGTGGCATTCTCCCAAATTAGCGAAATATTCCGTGTCGTAGCCTAAATCTAATATATCTACGAACTATAACACTATTGTTTCAGAAGACTGCATAATGTCCAAATTCATAAGAACCATCTGTCAGCATAAATCAATTTCCTTTTAACTTTTTCATTATCATGCTCTGTTATATATTCCAGTAGGTCTCTATCGGAATTTAATTAACAGTAGCAGCCTACACATGTGAAAAGAATAATGGTATATAAAACAATTTTTAGATTGCTTTACAGTGATACAATAGACTCGACTTTATTATGTCCAACTACTGCAAACGATTGGTGTGCATTTGCTACCATGAGGCTATTTTCATCTGTCCATCTCTCGAGTAAAACGCAAAGTACGGATAAACTTTTTTAAAATATAATTCACGATTCTACATTTCTTGTTGGAAAATATTTCTGTCGAAGCTCCTTAGAAGGACGGTCATTTTAGTTTATGTATTTGACTTTATATTCAATTATACTAGACCGATAATTGCATTTAACTTGTTCATATTCTAAAAGTTTTTAAACCCAAATTATCCATTGTCTGGATGCATGGAATTTTCGGCATGCGTAGAATATATCAACTTATGGATGCATGTCCGCTATGGATAACGATTGTCTCGTCAATCTGCATTTTTTTAACAACGAACCTTTTTTGTCATGACGTTACAGTGCAACAGTTGCTTATTTTTTTACGTGCACGAAATCGCTTTAGTATTTATACGATCCTGTTGCTTGTATTTGCTGTGAGCCGCGCGCATGGTGTCCCCCTGTCGGCGTACTGCAAGTATCGTTTTTAAATTATAGACCTTTTTTTGCATAACGTCATAGAGCAACAGCTATGAAGATTGGTGGACAAGATTTGTATTGAGTCTTATGGAAACTGGTATAATAACATTTGTTAAAAAATAATTTTGCGATAAATAAAAAGTTTACTTATTATCAAACTACATATAACTAAAATAAGTAATAGTAGGTTCGATACAATAATCAATAACAAAATCATCGTTGTAATGTGAATGTAGGTTAAGTAATAAGATATAAACAGATAATTATATATGGCTCCAAATCACATTAGTACATTACGATACAAGGAAAATTAATTATTCACATATAGTTATTAATAACACAAATTTTTCTAAAAAAATAGTTATTGTTAAAATATTTACAGCAACGAGTGTAAACTCTGAGGTATTTATATTCGATTTGCAATATAAAATCGAATATAAAGGAATCGCAATATAAAGGTCAATAATCACGCTTTGCCTTTATTAAAAACATTTTGCAACTATGCATAAGTATAATATTACAACGCTTACGTAAATCCTGAATATGATCACGAAATCACAAGTAAATTTTTACGATCTTACGGTATAAAATAAATGTGCGTTATTTTTTTCTTTTCAAGCATCATCATTGTAACAAAATTTTTATTGTCGAGCTATATTACTCATATGACACATCTAAACAATGTTAGGTGAAGCCTACCAGCATGGTGACAGCCATGTTAAATATTGTTCATTTGACGACCATCAGATCTCTTATTGGAAAATTAAATCAAATAGTAATATTA